CTGAAGCAGCCCAGAGAACAGCCAGTGCGTCCACAACTGCGTGACTATTCAACAAGCATAACAGAAGCAAAATGCTGATTGACCTTGCTCCTAGGAGAAGCTAGGCATCAGGGGTCATATTGTGGCCTTTTGAGAAACACATCTTAGGAAAGCTAAAAGCTCCGTATGGGAAAATCAAGCCTGAAATATAAGAAGAAAAACAAAAATGTGACCCAACACAAAGCTGTGTTTGGAGTTGCCATTTAATGTTATAGCATTGGTTTAATGAAATAAAAGTATAATTTCACTATAGATCCACCTACATAACCTTTTTTTGTCTTTTTTAGACAGGGTCTTGCTATGCAGTTCAGGCTGGACTTGAGCTCACTTTGTAGCCCAGGCTGGCCTCGAACTTGCAAAGATCCTCCTGTCTCAGCCTCCCAAGCACTGGGATTACAGGTGTGTGCCACCACACCTGGTTTACATAACCTTAATATTACACAAACTCTCTGATTTCACCTTCAGACTCAGCCTGTGGACAAAGCACTGAAGATTTATTAGAACCCCAGCAAGTCACATTGGTAGTATAAAAATAAGAATACAGCAGACAGGGCAGGGGATGTAGCTCAGAGGGAGAGCCTATGTCTAAAACGTCAAAGCCTAGGTTCTGTCCCCGTATCCTCAGCACTGCCACCCATGCATATAGATCAGACAGACCATGGCTGAGATAGAGCAGTGGGGTAATAGAGTAGAAGGGAGGGGAGTCCAGTTCATGTGCTTTACAGGACCAGGTGTCAGCAAAGCGAGGCTGTACACGTATTTATTTATTTATTTATTTTGTTTGTTTGTTTGTTTTTTCTAGTACTGGGGATCAAACTCAGGACCTTGTGCTTGTCAGTCAGGTGCTCTGCCACTGAGCTAAATCCCCAATCCCCTGTAGACATATTTGGATGACAAAGGTTACCGATACATGGCAAATAATTTAAAAAATTATTTGTAAAAATTGGGAGGCTAAGGAAAGGACACAGAATATGTGATAAATTCCATGTGTCAAGGGGTGGGCGGTAGTGAAAAATCAAGTCACAGGGTTTTTGTTTGGTTTGTTTTAGTATTTCTGAGATAAAGTCCTGATATATAATTCAGGATGAACTTGAACTCAGGCTGGCCTTCAGCTCACAGTCTTCCTGTCTCAGCTTCCCCCTGGAGGAGTAGGCATGCACCGTTATGCTCAGCTTAGTCACAGCATTTTTAAAAATGTGTTGGGGCCGGGGATATAGCTCAGTGGCATAAGCACCTGCCTGGCAAACACAAGATCTTGAGTTTGATTCCCAGGATCCCCCCAAAAAATAAATAAATAAAAATAAAAATGTGTTATACTAGGCAAGTCCCATACCTAAACCTATAGTCCCAGTGACTGGGGAGGCTGAGGCAGGAGGATTGATTGAACCCAGGAATTCAAGACCAGCCTGGGCAATATAGCAAGATCTTACCTCTAAATAAATGAATGTAAAAGAAATAGGTCCAGAAAAGATAAAAAGGGGTTAACCCTAATTAAGGAGCAGGACTAAAGTGGAGGAAGGAAGGTAAACTTCTGTTTTTGTCTTTATTTTATTCTATCTATGTAGTTTTTTTGTTTGTTAGTTTGTTTCACTATGTAGCTCTGACTGGCTTTGGACTTGAAGGAATCCTCCTGCTTCAGCCTCCCAGGTGGGATTACAGGCGTGCACCACGAAGACTGGCTT